CCAGTTCTGAAGTACTTGGTTTATTGTTGATGTCTAGTTAAAATAAGCTAGCCCTACTATCTCAAACGAACAGAGCTACAATGATAATTTTTTTCTCTTAAAAAAACAACCTACTAGGAAGCTAACAGTTCAGAATTCCTCAAGTAAGATAACACAGTCAGCAACAGTACACTGTCTCACCCTGTTCCACGCTTCAGGCCATTTGTTGCAAAGTACCTTAATAGATTTCCACAAAGCAATGACCACCTGTTCCCACAGCTTTCAGCAATGGGAAAGTCAGCCACCATTAAAGACTAGAAAGGGTCTAAGAGCATGTTTCAGCAGTGGTACCAAAACCCCAAACAAGGTTTGAACCTTAAGCCCCACAGCATATCAAACTCACTTAGTATTGAAAGAATCTTTATTTGCAAGTTATTTAGTTACTGGTCTTCCACTCATGCATACATTTAGGTATCGCAGCTAAACAAAAGCACTTGTGTTAAAGTTTTAACACTAAGCACTGTTTGGAGTCATAAGTGCTTAGGCTTCCAGCAGCAAAATATGAGCAAGTCCAAGATTACAAAAGGCATCTTAGTAAACACGTTAAAGCTCCTGATAAGATCTGGTGTGCTGTATATTCCAAGGAAGTGGCATCTACTATAAGGAAACATTTTGGTCAACTTCTTAAAGGAACATTGCTAAAAGTAGAACTATGAAGTGCAAGTGCTTGAGAAAGCTGGTAGAACAACATACTTCAGTCTCTACCATAATGTCTCCAGCACATGCTGTGAGGTGCTCAGATATTAAAATAAGGTGGTGGGAATCAAAAGTATATCAAGGACAGGATTGCACAGCTACATCACATTTAACAAGTTGCTCATTTTATACCACCCTGCAAATCCTAATCCAGGCAAAGGCTTTTCAGCCTTCACTTTACTACACAGAAGCCTCCACCTCCCACTCTACCTTCTGTGACCAATAGCTCCATGCGCAACTTTTAAGAGGAAAGGGGAGAGAGCTAACCTTTGTATAACGATGTGGGTATTTTGTTGTAATTCTGTTCAACTCCAGGAAAGCATCACCATTTTCAGTTTCTGTTATGCCTCCTCTTTTATCCATGGTTACGTTAAAGCCTTTGACCACGGACCTAATTAAAGCAAAACCAAGCCGTCAGATTTTGAGACATGTATTTCTAGCGGGTGCATTTTCCTTCCAGCCTAACACAACAGATAAGAAACGCATTCCCTAACAGCATTTCTTTCCTACTTGCAGCTTCCCCCACCTCAACTAAGCAGCTCTCGCTGAAATATTTAACCCGCTCCCGAAGCCCAGCCAGACCTGCCCCACGCCCCAGAACAGCAGCCCAGCTCCTAAGCAGCTTTAGCACAACAAAGATCCCCCCGTGGGCACG